CAGCATCGATCTGACGTTAATTCTATGAAGCAGGTTTGAGGAGCTTCTCTTGTCGAGATAAATGTTGCACCTCTTACCTGCAAGAACTACATGTGTTAATCTTTTTATGTCAAGTAGAATCCATATCCGTTAGGACAAGTTAGACCTTTCCTTGACCTTTGTAATAGTCAGCGCTTTCTCCAAAATGTTAAAGATGTGAAAGACTTTTCCTTTGTTTCTAAGCATGCGGTAACCAGTAATCGCTCGACACAGTTCTTTGGATTTTTTCTTCAAATATTGGTATTAAAGTAAAATTGGTCAATACGGAAAGGTTTCTACAGAAGTAATCTCACTGCAATTCAACTGATCCAACAGTGTTCCCATCAATTTTATATTCCAAATTGTTAAGCGTTGCGGAACAGACTCCGGTTTACATAAATTGCAATAAGCCAACATTCTAGGCCTTCTTTTGCCTACTCTAAGCATTGCTCTCCATTAGAAGAGAGTTCTGTTTGGGAATTATTGACAACTAGGTCGAACTTCATTTTCATCTCAACAATTTTTTGTTCTCTGTATAAGTTGAGGCCTCGTTTAGCTATGAAGGTATTATCAATTAACACGCAATTATTTTGAATTATTAAAAGCCATTGTCGTTAAAACGTTTCATCGCAAAAAGAAAACAATTTTCAGTCTTGACTATTCAAAACATCAAGTAAAAAAAAGACGTCAGTTTTTGTCAACACTGAATAAAACTTCTATTATTCATCAATAAAGCTCTCATTAATGAATGAAAATGATATCCACATTATTAGATTCAATTCCTATTGTCTACACTACTTGCAATTCTAAGTCCAAGATCAACTTGCGTTCCAGTAAAATTCAATCATCCGAACGCAGGTCGACGTTTGCATATATTCTGCCAAAATTTCTCAAATTTGTTTGGACCTCAAAATGTCTGAGAAAGTTGTAGGACGTAAGCGACTTATATACTGAGACGACTTTCTTTTTATTAATCCAAATTTTGTACAAAAAGCTCGTCGAATTTCTCAACAGCGAAATCCAACATTTTATTATATTGTTGCTATAAAAATTTTAATAAATTCTACTTACGCATTAGAGGAAAATCGTTCTGTTTATTTACTTGATTAGAGAACATTATTGAATAAAACAAAGATAAGATGTGTTAGTCACGCAAAACGACATCTTTAATTATTTTGGAAAAAAACACTACAAATTTTTCCCTATGAATTTGCCTGACACCTTGAGAATATTTATGGTCACACGAGTGTACTGGACATTTCTGGTTCTGAACAAAGTGCCTATCAAGGTTATCTTCATTGAACATTTTTTGCTTCGATTCATATCGTTTTAGAAATGACCTAATTACTTTGAAGCTCCTAGCCAAACTCTGCGTTTTTGAAAGTGTTTTTATCTTATGTAAATTATGAGACTTGTTGTTCAGGTTACGTTGACCAATATGCACATTAATTGTAAAAAAACCATTACTCTGTGCTACAGATGTTATAACCGTTGGACAGCGATTGTCGTTTAGCACATTAGGAAACAAGTATTGCTAATTTCAAATTTTGAGAGAATTAAAGTGAAGCCTTATTGCAGTAATGTTGTGCTGTGACTCTGAGTGGGCGCGTACGAACTCATGAATAATAATTGCGAGCATATGATGTTTATCTAGTTTAGCTACTAGCAGATTCGATGGGAATTGGTAGGAAGGGCAAACGGGAAGTATTTCGCTAAACCGACACTACATATCTTAGTGGATGTGATGTCAAGGTGTCACGCGACATCAAAGATTGATATGAGGCTTCCGTCAACGAATCGAGAGAACTCGTCCGAAAATTCCATTAGCATCATAGGAATGATGGAAAATGAAAAACGATAGATGAGGGATGCATGCTGTGGCCAGGCATGTCGATTCTAAGCGCAAGGGAAGCGGGTGACACAGAGGAGGAAGGGGAAGGAGTGCATGTGATGTGGAGAGGGGCATTTGCACTTGTACTAAGCGCAAACCAGTAAAACGTTGCCTGCTCTCTGACAAAGAGCGATTAGGTTGCTACACTGATTATGCACTAGAGTTCATGTTTTTATAGAAGACGTAGTTATAGGGATCATCATATATACATCAAGGCTGTCTCGAATGGGACGATGACAGCTAATAAGTAGTTTCCCGTAGTACAAGGACTTCTTTGTGCAATTTCTAAATCGTCTTAAATGGGCTTCTCGCTATGGTTTCATTCAGAAAAATAAAAATAAGTAACACGATTGATCGGAAATACGATACAAGTAGCACACTTTCTCAAATATTTGACACTGTGAGGTCTATACAAAATCACGATGGAAAAGTCCCATAGTATTTTGAAATTGTCGCGCCCTTAGCGAACGCAATGTAATAAAGCACTCATTAAGGTTATGTGAGGAAGCCTTTATTGTCAGCAGTGGCCAAAGACAGCTTTTGCTTTACGAAACATAATTCAAAGGTAGAGAATCATGCGTTTTTGTACTAATCATTTAAATTTCAATTCCATGTAACCAAGTATCATTAAAACCACCTTATAATGAGCTGTTTGAAAAAAAGAGTACACTTCAATAAATGAACTTGAGTTTATATGGTGGAAGTGATTGTATGCACTGTATTCTACCTTCAATGCTTTTTGATGTTGCGCGGAATCTAAGAACGACTTATACTGGAAAATACAGCTGCCTTTTGACTAAGTCCGTATGAGCGACAACTAAGTGGTTTCTGCACATTGCAAAGTGTGATTATTTGCCGAGAACATAAATGTATTATTTATTCTCCTTTGAATAGTCGGTCTCTTAAAAAAATGATGGTAGATTGCAAAGGGAATA